ATTTCGACGTTTTCTCTGACGAGCATGCGTACCAAGCAGGCTGTAGGCTGAGCAAATTCCTTGGGGGGGGGGGCAGAGACGGATCCAGGATTTCAAGGAGGGGGTGAGAAACAGGTTGGGGTCTGGTGGTCCTCCCACAGAAAATTTTGAAAATGTAGATCGCAGGAGATGGTATTTGAGGCAATTTTGAGTAAATGTGCAGCCTTCATTCTGACTACGACAATTCTCTTTTAGTAGAACAATTTTTTTAATTTTGCTCCAAAATCTAGGTGGGGCAGCTGCCCCTTGCCCCATGCCCCCCGCAGGCTACAGCCCTACCAAGTAATATCCTGAGTGAGCTCCTGGGATCCACTCATCCATCTATAGATCATGAGTCGATGGCAAAGTTACGTCAGATTGTGAGACTACGCACCCAGTCGTTCAACGTTAGTTAATATAATGTTACGTGGTTTAATGAAATTTGTTTATATGTACATACCTACACACATATGTTTGTATTCGATCTTGATTTGGTGTGCAATAAGAAATGTACGCTAATGTGAAGCAGGAAGAAACGAGCGCAATGAGAGAATAATCGCTCAGTGAACCGAAAGCAATTCATACTCAACTAATATGAATGATATAAATCAGTTTTCGTTCTGTAATCTGACAGACCACGTGTCCCGCGGCAGAAAAGATTCGGTGAATTGATCACTGGGAACAATATAAGTGACTCGAACCGAAGCGGCCAATCAGAGACGCGCCTATGTCGGCGCTTGTTCTTTTCATTGTTTGTTTTCCGCGTGATTTAACGACTGCATTCTTTACAAGTTGCTCGCATGAGCTTGACGCGAAAGCGCCGAAGAAGTGAGGACTTTACGAGACAAAGCAGCGTGCCTGTGTTGTTCGCCACTGATTGCTATATTATGACCTTGCCGTGTCATTGACACGTCGCCTTCCGTATGTCATTATTGCCAGGTTTTATCCAGTAGGTTTTCATCGTCCCCTTTCCCTGATTATAAACAAAACGAGATCAAATTAAATAACAAAGTGTTCAGATCACGATGTACAAGCTTTCAATCACTACGTACTGTTTTCTACCCATAATAATAATAATAATAATAATAATAATAATAATAATAATAACAATAATGATAATGATAATGATAATGATAATAAGAATAAGAATGATAACAATAATATAATTAACTCTCTCTCCGCTACCACGTACCTTTACATCTATTGTGCCTCTCTCGGTGATTTCGTAGTTGTGTGCGTCGTGTAACTCCTCCTTAGTTGTCTGGCTGATGTGCACTTTCATTACCTGACCCGTGAAAATTCGACGTTAACGTGAGATTTCGCATCAGCTTGCTAAGCGCTGGAGAACTAACGCAACGGTAGTAGTGGTCGTAGTAGTAGTAGTAGTAGTAGTAGTAGTAGTAGTAGTAGTAGTAGTAGTAGTAGTAGTAGCAGTAGCAGCAGTAGCAGCAGCAGCAGTAGTAGTAGTAGTAGTAGTAGTAGTAGCCTAGTATTAGTAGTAGTAGTAGTAGTAGTAGTTAGAGTAGTGCAGTATAGAGCTAGTAGTAGTAGCATAGTAGTAGTAGTAGTAGTAGTAGAAGTAGTAGTAGTAGTAGTGAGTGTAGTATAGTAGCTAGTACAGTAGTAGTAGTAGTATTAGAAGTAGTAAAGTATAGTTAGTAGTAGTATTAGTAGTAGTAATAGTAGTAGCAGTAAGTAGTAGTAGTAGTAGTAGCAGTAGTAAGTATAGTTTAGTATAGTAAAGTAGTAGTTAGTATGATAGCAGCAATAGCAGGCAGCACAGCAGCTAGCAGCGAGTAGCAGCAGCAGTAGCAGCAACGCAGTAACAGCAGTAGCAGTACAAGTACAAGCTAGCAAGCAAGCCGCAGTAGGCAGGCAGCAGTAGCAGTAGCAGTAGCAGCAGGCAGTAAAGCGACACGGCAGCTGCTGCATCAGCCGAAATCTATTAAGTATTATTACTGCAGCGGAGAGTAGAGCATTTTCCGTGATTTCACGATTTCTGCATTCATTTCTTTCATCATTATCCTTAACGAAATGTAGTCCTTCATGGACCACACACCCGCACTTGCAGCTACACACACACACACACAACCAGCACACACACAACACGGGCAGCGCGCGCACACACACAGCACACACACACACACAAACACACACACCACACACACACCGCCACACCACCAAACGACAACACACAACCACACACACCACCACAAAACACACACAAGCACACACCACACACACACCACACAAACACAACACACACACACACACGACGCCGCAGGCTGCGGCAGGCACAATCGCGTCACGCGCGACTCACTGCCGCGCTACGACAGCACGACGCACTGCACGCACACGCACACGCACACGAACAGCGCACGGCGCGCGCACACAACACACACACCCACCCACCACTACACCACACACGCACAGTCGCACACACACACACGCACACCACACGCACACATCACACAGCATCACACACACACAACACCACACACACACATATATATATATATATTTATATTCATATAGCAAACCACGGAAGTCGTATAACTTGTTATATCGGTCACGTGATGACATGCTGTGACGTATATAGGTGATATATGTAAACATATATGTATGTAACCATCTTTATCACCTGCTCCGCCCGCTCTCAGCGCCACCTACCGGAACAGCCAGTGTTGACAGGTGATAGCCTGTATGTACATGTGTACGTACGTGCGTGTACGAACTGGCGCGTGCGTGTGTGCATGCTGCGGTGTATGGACCTGGCGTGTGCGTGGTGCGCATGCGTGCGTGTATGGACTGGCGTGTGCGTGCGTGCATGCATGCGTGCGTGTACGAACTGGCGTGTGCGTGCGTGCATGCATGCGTGCGTGTACGAACTGGCGTGTGCATGCGTGCATGCATGCGTGCGTGTACGGACTGGCGTGTGCGTGCGTGCGTGCATGCGTGCGTGTACGGACTGGCGTGTGCGTGCGTGCATGTGTGCGTGCGTGTATGGACTGGCGTGTGCGTGCGTGCATGCGTGCGTGCGTGTACGGACTGGCGTGTGCGTGCATGCATGCGTGCGTGTACGGACTGGCGTGTGCGTGCGTGCCTGCGTGCGTGCGTGTTTGGACTGGCGTGTGGGTGCGTGCGTGCGTGCGTGAATGGGTGCGCGTGCGTGCGTGCAT